ATGCCCCTGGACCGCCCCCTTGTGACCATTCGTCATCCCAACCATGGTAGTCTTATTAATTAGTGAACTAGTAATTTGTCAAATGCCAACCTTGCATGCCTCTTCACTCATTATTATTTTATCCTCCATTTTTAAAACTATCTATAATGCTTCATTTTAACCCGCAAGTCATTAATAACATTCTATCCTCACTTCCCTTTATCATGTCGCTCTCAAATTTTAGTGTGGAGCAATCTTTGAGTAGTCTCATTCTCCCGCCTCTTCCAGAGCCGGCTGGCCCCCATGTGCAAGCCGAAACAGGCGTTTCCTCTCATTCGCCTCTTGAACCTAGCTCACCCTCTAGACTCTGTCATGATTCATCTGAGGCGCATCCATCTCAATCTACTGAGCAGGAAGCTCTGCCTGAGGATGTGGAAGTCTGTAATAAGCCAATTAAATCAAGTAGTAACCTGTTGTCTCGCCTCATCTCTTGCTCTCCTAAGCGATTGCCTAGCGTGGTAACTCAGCACCGTCTTTTTATCTGCATGGACTCTAATCGAAAACAGCTGGCTCTCTCTTCTGGCGCCTTTGCTGTTGTCTTATCTGCTATAGAAGCTCTAAAAGCTTCGGGCCAACTTAGGAATTCTTCCGTAAATTTAGAGACGCCCTTAAACCAGGCTAATATTCAAGAATCCCGAGACGTAACCAAGGTAGTTTTAGATTCATGCATACTTTAAAATATACATCAACACATTTACACATAATTATTCATCAACACTGACTTTTTTGTCTGCTTAGACTTTTGATAATCGCCTCAATGCATTGGAGGGCGGCCACCTCGAGACGGGGGATGAGGTTTCACCTGGCATGCCTGAGAACGGCAACGTAAAGGATTTAATGGAATTACTCTCAAGTAAGTCGAATTAGCATTTCTTCAAAGTCGGACTGAAAAAAAATCGGTTTATGTCTTGCCATCTATTAAATAGTTTCGAGTGCTATAACGTGTATCTAGATGACACGAACTAGATTGTATGGTGGCTATTGAAATTTTGCTTGTGATTATGGGTGAAATATCGTCTTATGATTTAAAAATAGGAGTATTAAGTATTTCTTTATCGGGTCAGTATGATTTATTCAATTATAATTGCAGGCTACTTTAAAATGTATTGGTTCATTTCATATAATTTAGAATTTCTGCTCCCGAACAAGGGACCCAGCAATGGTGAGGCGTTTTCTGCTCCTACCGAACCCAAACGCATATGTCTTTCTACTCCAATCTCGACTGATTCATCTGCAAATGTGAGACCTGTTCTCTTGCCTACCGGACACCGAAGTGATGATACTTGCCATTCAATGGGTGGTCCGACTTCCAAGTCTCAATCTTTTAGCTTGGTATCATCTTCTTATGACCAGGATTGCGAGGACGAATCCATATCGATCGCCTCTGGTGCCTTGGCCAGTTCCGAAACCTCTTTGCTGACTTCCTCCATTTCGACGATGGGGAACAGTACATCTACTTCAATGCCAAAGACGCTTCTTCCTTTGCCTTCGGATACCGCTTCTCTCGCTTCTGTCTCTTCCGTGCTCGTAAAACCTTCTGGAGGCGAAGAAATCTTTGATGCTTACTCGTTGCTCGAACGTCAGGAGAAGGAAGAGCGTGAGGAACGCCAGGCGAAACGTCAGCTCTCCATCTCTTCAAGCTCCAGCAGTAAGCTAGCCACAGCTCCAAAAACGCGCCGTCTTTCTGCTCTAGCAGATCTTTATGGCTTAAATGAACCTCCTCCACCACCCATGGTGCAACAGTCAACGCAACAATCCTCAATCACGTCCCATAGTTCATGCGCTCCATCCTCATCCATTTCTTCAGGCGGTCAGGAATTTGCCTCAGCAGTCCAGTTAACAAACTCTCTGGGGGGCTATACCTCTGCTGCGACTGGATCATTGGCTTCAAATGTATTTTTCACTTCTCCCACTCAACATACATCTCAGTCATTGCAACAACAATCGCAATCGCATCCGCCATCTCAACAACAATCTTCGCTTTCTGCTTTTTATCCGCCTTGTTTACTTTACTACCAGCAGTCAATGGCAAACCCATTGTTGGCTGCCCAGGCAGCTACTATATCATCCACTGTTCCATCTACTGTTATAACTACCGCCGCCACAACATCATCTTCATTCCTTCCGGCTACTTCATCACCTCAAGCAATATCAACCCTCTACCCTCCTGGGCTTGCCTATTTTCCCAGAATGTCATCTCAACAGCCCCTCTATTCTTCCTTTTCTGTTACCAGCGAGCCAGCACCGCCCGGAGTGCAGCCTAACTAGGCTTGGTGGGGCTGTTTTTAATTAATCATTTCTACCACTTATTGGGTACGTTATCTCTAAAGGCTTAATATTAAATATGTTTTATCTAAGTCATGTGATCATCTCTAGTCTTTAATAGGAATATAGTTATTTGGATAGGTGATTATGGCGTGGACGTTAAACTTCACTGTGATGTTGAGTTTCAGTTTCCTCTGCATTTTGATAAATCGAGTTTATTTTCATCTGAACTTATCTTTATTGAATGTCCCAATATAGTTGCTAGTTATAGCATTTGAATTTTTTGAATAGAGTATTTTTTTAATCTTCCATCCAGGTCTATTGCACTTGGTATTTCTCTGCGGTTTTCCCATACATATTCTTATCAGATCCTGCTAGACTTACTTGGATCAATCCAGAAACTGATCTAATCATTTTGTGGTCTGAACATAAATCACCCTATAGACGGGCCATAAATAGATAGTCGTTGATATTTTCCT